ATTAAATATAATTACTTTTAGATATAGAACACTTACCCCAATCCATATGGTGAAAATCGCTTCAATCCGAGCTCCATAGCTCAAAAAAATGGGAATTTTCGATGGTACTGTTCATACGTTTCCGAAACACTCCCGAGCCCTCGAGGCTCCTAACCAAATATATACACTAACTCAACAACATCCTACGAACTTAACCGTGTGATCAAATCGCCAAAATAACGTCATATACCATGAATTAAGCTTTAAAATCTAAGAATTCTTTCAAATTTCATAAAACATCAAATTTTTCATTTTGAGTCCGAAACACGTCAAACGACATCCGTTTTCAACCAAACGTTACATAAAGTGCTTAAACCATATATAAGACATGTACCGGGCACCGGAACTAAAATACGGGCCCGATATAATCACTTTCTAATCAAATTTCATTTTCATTTTCCTTAAATATTTTCCGAAAATAATTTTACTCAAAACTTCATTTCTCGGGCCTGGGACCTCGAAATTCGATGATTCTTGTTCCTATGAGTCACAAATAATGATACGAACATAGCCCTTTAGTCTAAACTCAATTCGGAGCTCATTTGCTCAGTTCAATACCCATATCACTCGTTAAACAATTAACTCATGTTTCGTGCCAAAAACCCAATCGCGACTCAATGAAATTAGACCAAACTTTCTAGATCAGTCCTATAATTCATTATCAAAATTCCAGAAGTCTTGAAATCAAATTTCAATCTCTAGAACTAAAAATGGACTTTTGGATCATTACATGCTTATGCTCAAAACGACAAAATCTTCCAAAAACTCTTCCAAAACTTATCCGAGCCTCATGGGACCCCGACCAAAAATGGCAACATAATTCATAATATCATTCAAACCTGCTCCAATCATCAAAACACCTCAAACAACATCAAATTACCCAAAACTCATCGAATTCAAGCCCAAGTTTCCAAAAACTTCCGAAATACTCTTTCGATCAAAAAACCGACCAAACGATGTACGAATAACCCGAAATTTTGCACACACATCACAAATGACATAATGAAGCTACAACAACTCTCGGAATTCCATTCTGACTACTATATCAAAATCTCGCCTATCAACCGGAATTCGCCGAAATACTAACTTCGCCAATTCAAGCCTAATTCTACACCGCACCTCCAAAACCAATTCCGATCACACTCCTAAGTCACAAATCACCTAACGGAGCTAATCAAATTATAAAAATTCCAATCCGAGATCAAATACACATAAGTCAAATTTTGGTCAAACCTTTCAAATTTCAAGCTTCAACTGAGAACTGTTCTTCCAAATTCATTCTGATTAACCTGAAACCCAACACCAATGATTTACATAAGCCATAATACACCATATGGGGCAAGTAATGCCCAAGAACTGGCCATCGAAGTGCAAAATCTCAAAACGACCGGTCGGGTCGTTACATCTTTTGATAAAGAAAATACCCTTTTTCAAATTGAAGTACAATATCGAATGAATTATTACCTTTAATATGAGAAATAAATAAATCAAAAAATAGAAGAAATTCCTTTTTAAGTAAAGTACAACCTCAACGGTTTAAAAAAAAATTAGCTGAGAAATCAATTGAGTTAAAAATATAACAATTGTTGAAATTTAAAGTATTCAATATATATAAAACAATAGGGCGAGGTATTATCAACACGATGAATTCCTACACAAAGGATCACAACCGTAAAGGAAATCTAAACCATCAAAACACTTGAATTGATAACAACAATTACAACGGAGATAAAATAATCACAGAAGGAGTACACCTCAATGTATAGATAACAACCGGGGATCTCCAAGGATACCGTCCTGTAGTCCCAAATGTAAATACTCGGGGATCTCTCAGTATCCTCCGTATATGAGCTAGGGATCTCTTGGTATCCCGAGGATCTCTTAGTATCCTCAATATATGTGCTGGGGATCTCTTGGTACCCTCAATATGAATGCTAGGGATCTCTTGGTATCCCGAGGATCTCTTGGTATCCTCAATATATATGCTAGGGATCTCTTGGTATCCCGAGGATCTCTTGGTATCCTCAATATATGTGCAGGGATCTCTTGGTATCCCGAGGATCTCTTGGTATCCTCAATATATGTGTAGGGGGATCTCCCGGGAATCTAACCCGTAGTCCCAAAGTAAATGTGCATGGGGAATCTCCCGAGAATCTAACCCGTAGTCCCAAAGTAAATGTACTGGGGTAATCTCTCGGGAATCTAACCCGTAGTCCCAAAGTAAACAAACAAGGGGGAACTACCGGAATCCCACATCCGTAGTCCCAAAATAAATACACAACGCAACCAATAGAATCAACAGTTACATCACAACAGAAGGATCAAACATCACCGCAATACAGATAACAACAACAATGACAATAACACAGGTACGACAAGTAAATCAACTCTGGGGCTGTAAATCATGAGAAAATGGTAGAACCAACTAAAAGGAATAAGAACAGAAAAAAATACTGGCATAAAGGAAAGGTTCAATAACGGGAAACTAACACGTAGCAACAATCCCACAATATACAAATCAATAATAAGGAAATCAACACGAATCAAGTAGTTATGAAAATATAACATCACAATAGGAGGCAAAACTCTTCAGTTAAGTCAAATAGGAGCCACATTAATCAAAGTATAAAGACTCACGGGCATGCTTGATACCAACGTCTAAATACTCGTCACCATGCCTATACATCGTACTCGACAAATAACATATAACATTTATGACACAACTCCTAATTCCTCAAGCTAAGGTTAGACCAAACACTTACCTCGATCCGGCTCAATAATAAATCCGAAACCACGTTCTTGCTATGCGTATCCGACTCCAAATGGCCCAAATCTATTCAATTAAATTGCATAACGTATAAAACACTTCAAGTAACTCATTCTACAATTAAGTTCTAAGCTAATATGTGAAATCAAGTAAAATGACCAAAATGCCCCTCTGGCCCATATCTTGGAATCGGATAAAAATTTACAAAACTGAATACCCATTCCGATACGAGTTCACCCATACAAATATTATCCAATTCGATACCATTTGGCCCTTCAAATCATCATTTTACATTTTGGAAAGAATTCACAATTTTGTTCCCAAATTCCATCCCAAATCACGAATTAAATGATGAATTTTATGATAGATTCATGTATTCTAGTCAAATCCGAGTTAGAATCACTTACCCTGATGAATTTCTTGAAAAACCTTCGAAAAATCGCCAAAATCCGAGCTCTCTAGGTCAAAATATCAAATAAAACCCAAAACCTCGTATTTATAGAGTACCCCACGGATTCCACCTATGCGGTCCATGCAAAACCAGTGCGGTCCGCGCAAAAACGAATGTTGTTCGCGGTGGATTTGATTGCAGTGACAGTCTTTGGTTTTTTGGCCATAAGTTTCTCTATAGGTATCCAAATGTCTATTATAATATGTTTCTGAAAACTAGATTCAAGGACTACAACTTTCGTTTTTGAATCATCCCCAAGTTCCTTGTAAATCAAAATATATAAGCTTCCGAAGTTGGACCGACGACCTGCGGATCTTCATGACCTCGGACCGCGGTCACTTTCCCGCGCCCAGCGCAAAAATGACCGCGCCCAGCACTAAAATTTCTGCCCCATCCATTTTCTAAGTTCCGGAATGTCTGTACTCGCTCAAAACTCACCCGAAACACACCCGAGGCCCTCAGACCTCAACCCAAACTTACAAACACCTCCCATAACATCATTAACACCTAGTTGAGCTTTCAAATCACCCAAAACAACATTAAAACACCAAATCAACTTCGAATTCAAGCTTAAGAACTTAGAAATTTCAAATTCCACGAACAACGCCGAAACCTATCAAATCAAGTCCGATTGACCCCAAATTTTGCACACAAGTCAAAATGACATAATGGAGCTATTACAACTTCTTGAGTCGGATTTTGATCTCGATATCAAAAAGTCAACTCCTCAGTCAAATTTCCAAGTTTCGACTTCTCATTTTCGCCATTTCAAGCCTAATTAAACTACAAACTTCCAAAAGAATTTTTCGGGCATGCTCCTACTCCAAAATTACCATACGGAGCTATTGGAATCATCAAAAATCCATTTCGGAATTTGTTTACTCTTATTTCACCTTCCGGTCAATTTATTTCAACTTAAGCTCTCTTCTTGGAGACTAATTGTCTCAATTCCTTTCAAAACCTTTCCGAACCTAAACCAATTTCCCCGACAAGTTACATAAGAACCGTGAAGCATGAATTTAGAAGTATAGGGGGAAACGAGGTTGTACTTATTCAAAATGACTGGCCGGGTCGTTACAACAACCTAACCTTTTAAGTACATGTTCCACAAACAAGACGTGTGTTCTTGTGTTTAAACTGTATGTTCAACTTTCTTTAGTTCAATAGGCGCTATACAATAACATGTAAAAGATTCACAGAAAAGCCTTTTGAATAATTTCATCGTAAACTATATTGATGTAGAATGATCGTCATCACTATCTGGGTTTGGAGGCCGAATTAATATCTTGAGACAATTGGAAGCTTTTGCTCTCGACAATGCAACGTAAAGCTGGCCATGCGAAAATACTGGTTCTCGTAAATATATACTAACAAAATCTAATGTTTAACCTTGTGATTTATTTATAGTCATAGCAAAACAAAGTCTTACTATAAATTGTGTTCTTTTAAACTGCACTGAGGATTTTTCATCTTCTGATGACATCAATGGTATTCTCGAAATAAACACATGTGTATTTTTAAAGTCACCGGTTGCAATTTTTGCGCTTATAACATGTGTTTTAAAATCACAACATGTCAATCTTGTGCCATTGCACAAACCTTCACAAGGATTCAAATTTCGTAATAATATAATTGGACAATTTTCTTTCAAAGTTAATCTATAAGGAGGTAAACCAGCAGGATTTAAAGAATGCAAAAAATCTTTATACTGACTTTGATTATTCGATTCACATGTTTCATCAATTACAACGAATGTTTAGCTTCTTTTGGAAATTTGTCTATAAGCATATCATTTATTTCATTTACAAAATTATTTTTCGTCGTCAAAATAACACGGGAAGTTACAGAAGATGCATCACAGAAGAAAGCATGCATGTTAGGAAATGTTGTTTCAGATAATGCATTCAAAGATTCCCGTTCAGTAGTATAAGGGACAATAAATGATTTTGGAATTTCAATTTTGTTTTCAGAAGTAAGAGGTTCTTTTCCATTTCCTATTCTCATCAAATATTCAGAAAAGGCTGGATCAGTTTTTGCACGCATGTTTTCTGACAGTTGCAATTTTTCAAGTCAGGGCCAAATGTCAGAATATAATAAACTCTCATGAATAAAATCCTCTCTTTTTCCGTTTCGAACTACTAGTAGAATTTGTCTAAAATCACCACCAAAGACAACAACTTTACCACCAAAAAGCACATTAGTATTCAAGAGATCTTTCAAAAGTAAATCAAAAGTTTCAATCATTTTCTTTTTTGCCATCGATACTTCATCCCATACAATTAATTTTGCATCTCGAATCAAACAGGCAAGTGAACTTTGTTTGCTAATATTGCAACTAAAATTTTCATCAATGTCAATGGAAATTTTAAAACGGGAATGAGCTGTACGACCACCTGGAAGAATTGAAGCCGCAACTCCAGAGGTTGCTGTTGCTAGAGAAATAAATCCTTTAGATCGCACAGTAGCTAATAAGGCACGATATAAAAAAAATTTACCTGTTCCTCCAGGACTGTCAACAAAAAAAGCTCCCAGTCTGTTCGAAGATATTCTGTCTATAATCACATTGTATGTCATCTGTTGTTCATGGTTCAACTTTTGTCGTAGTAATAGCTCTTCTTCGGTAACGATTATGTTTCTTTCGAAGAATATTTCTCTTTCTTCTTTGGTAGCCTTTGAAGCCTTGAAATTTTCAGCGATAAGTTTATACTCATTAATGTTATGTCCCATCGAATGTAAGATGTCATTGAGACATGTGGTAAACGACATTTTTTAAATTCTATAGTATACATAAAAGCTGCAACTTCTCCAAAGATATTTCTTTTAATATATCGGTTTTTAGTTCTTCTATCTTTGCCCTAAAAACTCGACTAATTAAATCAGGTCTGTTCTGTGCTTCGTCAGTTGGTAGCAAGTGCTCTTTTATCTCGGGCCAAGATGGGTTACAAGTCATCGTTATGAATAGATCAGGTTTTCCAAATTGTTGTACCAAAGAAATAGCATCCATGTAGCGTCGATGCATGTCTCTTGGTCCGCCTATAAAAGTAACAGGAAGGAATATTTGTTTTCCTATATTTGAAGCGTCTCTTTCTCCAAGTCTTAAAATATCAATGAGTCCTTGTAGCATTTCTATCCTAAAGAGATCTGGGTTGAATGAAAAAAGTCTAATCTCTGTGTTTCAAGTTTTATGTGTTCATCTACTGAATATTGCTGAAATAATCTTCCAGAATGTAAAGTTTCATTTGTTTCATCTTCTCTCATTTGGAATTTATAACAGTAATATTCACGAACAGAGATATTATCTCTTTTTCGTTTTCCTTTTTAAAGATTTTGAGCTTTCATGTCAAGATATCCATCAACAGAATACATATTTCTAATACTTGGTAATTCTTCGTGTTCACAAAAGGCTCGACGTTTAGAAGTATCTTTTGGTTGTATAATTTTTTTAATGCCACAGTTCCATCCACTTTGACCATATGGAAACAATAGTGGATATTGTAGCGGATCATAACATCCGTAATAGTAGTTCACTATTTGAGATCTATTGCTATGAGTGTAGATTCGAATATGAGGTGCAGAACTAACTTCGGTGGTTTCTTTTTCAACCCATATCCCTGCAACTTCTGATGTAGTAGGAAGATTGTATACACGTTGATCCAAACCTGAGTCAGATTTAAGTGCAATATTGTAGTTCGATAGATTTGGAACATCTATTAGGGATTTTAAGAAAATAGAGTATGGATTAATTCTCAGTATGTTCATTAGTTTTTTGACTATTGATTCATGCATTTTCTTAGAGCAAGCCATTATGTTAGATAATTCGTTATCGTTGTCATAGAAGTATAGTTGTAGATTTTTTGCTATTCCACTCGGAGGCAGCAAATCATTTATAAAATGGTACATCTTTCCATGAACTCTAAATATATAAATACCACAATTTCTTTTTGCTAATTCTTTATCATAATTTACACCAAGTGATGTAAATGAAAACATATTATTGTATGTTCTGATATATGTTCGAAAATTTTTACATTCTTCAGTAGTCCCTAAATATAAATTTTGTAGTTCAGCAGGCATCTCATGTGAAACTAACTTGATCGAACCATTGTTACAGTAGAATCCAGGTGGTTCATATTCAAATTTTTTTGTACCACAAAATTTACAGTTAGGAACAGTCTTCAAGGGAACATAATCAGATTGTAACTGACCTACGTATGTATAACTCTTTTTTTTGAGTTATAACCTGTATATTTAAGTATTATTAGCATAAAATTACCAATTAAGTAATATACAACAGTATCATAATAAAAGATTGGTGCAAACATTTTTTCCCAACCATTGTTGAGCTCATACTACTACTTTCATTAGATGCATGTGACGTTGACCCTAACGCCAAAAAGTAATAAATTATGAATAAATAAAGACATTATGTAAAAATCAACATTGCATCCTTGATACTTACCTACTTCAAATGAGTATAAGGGATAATTTATAATCTTTCGCTTGTAAAATGTAACTTCCAAAGCATCAACGTGACGCTCGTTGGCTAATAGGGGAAACACAACACATATTTACCGTCATTCAATTATACTCACATGCAAAAAGCGTGAAGGGACATTTCTAAAAAAATAAAATAACAAAGGATGTATTCTAACCTATTTTTAAAACAGAAGAAGAGCTCCTAAGAGGAACATTTTGTTGCTGAAACTCAGTTGCAGCTGGAGTAGCGCCAGGAAAGGCAACTTTCTCAGAAAGACTACTCCTTTTTAACTCTTGTCTTTTTGTTCGTCGTTGTAGTAACAATGCTTCTTCGTTTTTCTGCAGATATTACTTTGTACGTTTCATGTCGCCTAAGTTTCATCTCAGCTTCTGATTTTGCGAAGCAACGATGTTTTTTTTTGTTCAGAACCCATTATTCCTACAAAACTACAATTATAGAAATTAAATCACACGAAGTAAATAGAAATAGTTTGCTGGCAGAGGTAACATCTGAAGCAAATAGCATCAGATTAATAAAAAGTACTACTCAGACTCAAATATATGTGACTTTTATTTTCTGACCACTATATACAAGAAAAATTATAACAACATCTAATGGTTGTTTAATTCAACATGTAGATACTCCTCAATCACGAGAACTACAATAGCTATAAATGGAGCAACTTATACAACTCAATTGCAAGAGTATATTCACTATGTTTCTTTAAAAGGAAAATGATATTAATCAATTCTTGTACAAAGTATTCACTATGTTTCTTTAAGAGGGAAATTATATTAATCAATACATCTACAAAGTGAATCTTCAATGTCAATTTTACTGGTAATAAGATTGTTGTCACCAACTATACAATATTTAAAATATTAACTCAGTCAAAATTATTTTTGACTTATTCCTGATATCTTGGAAATATACTTGTCAAGAGAAGCTGAATCAAGAACTTCCAAGTCAATTTTCTGTCCTACTTTTGCGACATAACTTAGCAGAGCACATAAACTGAAGAAAATAAATATTACAAACCTTTTAATACGCCCCATCTCAAATTACTACTCTGCACTCTTAGTTTTCCTAAACAGCGTTCACTTTCTTTTAAGAAGAAGTTCTCCTACTCAAGAAAATGAAAGTACAAAGCAGTTGGATGGGACCCATTTTCTCTATGCAGTACAAGACATTTTCAGAAATCAAAACCAAACGAAGTTATTTGGTTTCAAAATCAATTTTTGGGTTTTGGAAACACAAAGATACGAAAATAAATTTGTTCCTCTCTGAACCAAAACCAAGAAAAAACCCTTTTCTTGATCAATTTAGCATAAACTTCAGCCATTGCCCCTTAGTATATCTCAGGCACTAAAGAAGTACATGAAATCCCTAACTCAAAATGCAACCAAAGAGAATAACAGACAGGAACATGTATAACAAATCCAGTAAAAATCCCGATTAAAGAATTTTGTCAAACACCTTGAGAACAGAATTTATTCGCTATTCAGGGGAAAACACAAATACCTACAATATTATCAAGGATTATAACAAAATCAATTCAAAAAACACAAGCTGAGAAGAAAATTACCCAGTAGAAAATAGCAATAGATCAGGGGGGAGGAGAAAGAGAGCACAAATATAAAGCAAAGAGACGTTTGAAGAGGAGGGCTTTGCAGATAAACTTGGAAAGTGTTGGATATAGCAAGAGAAATCAAACGGTGAATTGATAGCTATTAAAATTGGGCTGCACGTGTTGGGCTGCAAATACAGCCATGAAATAATTTTGGGCCAGGCAGACATGTTGACCATGAGCTGCCTGGTTATCCCCATTTA